GCTTTCGCACCTAGATTATTAGCTGATCCTTGAGAGCATGTGAGAAAGAAGATACTGTTAGCATGCAGTGTCTGAGCTAGCAGTGGGCACTGGTGGATGAGCGACCCTTGATGCAGCATAGATGATGCTTTGGGAAGCTGCCTCTCATCCCAAAGACAGCAAACATCAGATTCTCAAGGGCAAAACAGGTAGCTCATGGCCAACAGTGACTGTCCATTGCTGTCTTGTGGTGGGGGCTGCCCACAGTATTACCCTGTTCTGGTATCCAGAGCCTCAAGTTGTATTGCTCCAGCCACTCTTTTCTGCTGCTGGCTTCTACTGCAGCCTGCTTTCCCCACCTTGACACCAACTGTCACCTGTAGGTCAGCATGGATCCCACAGGGGAAGATTGCCAACCCCTCAGATGGGTACAACACATAAAAAGAGACCAAAGTGATTCAGACAAGTATTAAAGAGTCTTGAGTGACATGCAGCATGCAGAGTGGACATGGTGGGCAGATGACAGCTTGCCAGATGCTTTAGAGCCAGAGCAGAGCTGTGTGGTCCCTGTGTGGCTTCAGTGTGCGTGCTGGAAACAAGAACGTGACTGGTTCCTTGTACTGGGGAGAGTCAGTTCACATCTACAAAGCCTTACAACTCTTCCTTGCCTTTTCATGTATCTTGTCCCAGTTCCCCAAAATGCAGTGCTCCCATCAGCAGCTTGAAGAAACTGCCTTGCACAAAGGGGCTGACGTTAGAAAGATCTCAGCAAACGCCACGCTACCAAGCAGCTGCCAAATCAGCTGCATTACTGCTTTCTCCCTCACCCCATACCCAAACCTACCAGACTGGTTTCCCAGAGCAGAGATAAGGCATAAAGTCCTCATCAGAAGCATCAGCACCCACCTTGTCACCACCAGAGACAGGATACATCACCTTCCTTAGCACTGGGATGGCAGTTGCTGTAAAAATCTGGTCAGAACCACACCACTACCAGTGCTGCCATTTCCTGCCCTCTGGCCCTACAGCTAAATATCACCCTCCTCCTACCAAGCAGCTCCATGTTCTCCTTCTTCTCTCCCCCTTTAAGAGCCTCAGCTGTGCTCCACAAATCTCCTCCACCTGGTCCAAAGCTGCAGATTCCTCCAGTTCCACAGAGCTCAGAACGACAACCTTTCTCCATCAGCTCTAATTCAATTACAGCCTCTACAAATATTTCATTTAGGCTTTGAACTGTTCAGTGGAATTTGTATCTAGCAAAAAGTGGATTTGCTTCTCTATTACAGGCAATTCCTACCTATGAGAACTATTTCCCACTGCATTAACATTCTGGTCATCCTATCACCACATACAAAAGGTGCTGCTGCCTTTTTATAATGCTTTTCTCCCCATGCTCCAGAGAACCAAGAAGCCTCTGGTTTCTCCTTGGGTGACTTCATGCAGAGCACAAAACAGTGGTCTTGCAAGCAGTCCATGAGTGTCAACAAAGATTATGATTCATAACCAGCAGAGCTAATGGAAATAATCATGAAGAGGGGCAGCTGTGTCTTGTGCCCCCTTTGTGGGGCTACATAAAAGCCCAAGTCCATGGGTTGGCTTTTGGGTGATAGATCGAAGGTTCAGATCCTACAGATGGCATGTGGGAAATGTTTCAAGCCTCAGCTGTTCCTATTTCTCCACGTCAGGTCTTCATGCTTCAGCAGAGGTCAGCGTGCTCCCCATTACTGGGTGATACTGAAAAATTGAAAGGTAGTACTTTGGAACAGCAGACTTCCAGAGGAAGCAAGCACTGCCACATTCGAGATACTCTCAGCTGTGGTTTCATATAGATTGCTACAGCTGGTTGTGTCCCAGAAGGAAGCAGTTCATCCCTTTCTGCTACCCTGCCACCAGTGCACTCCAATGCAAAGCCCAGCTGCTCCTGCAGTTGCCCATTTGGCTTATAGCCTTGATGCTGCTCTATATCCTGTTGGCTATGCAGGTGAAAAATCGTTAAGTCTCTCAGTAAATCGGACCTGCTGCCTTCTTTTTCAACAAATCTGCAGTTTCCTGTGCTCTCCGCAGATGAGCAGCGCTGAGCGTGGCTTTGTGTGGAGCAAATTTGCCATCTAGTGGGTGACCGCCTGTCTGCAGGCGATGCTCGGGTTTATCTGCCTGTAACAGTCACTGCAGAGTGGGATTTGTCTCTACTAAGGACTGTGTAAAAGGGAGAGCTTCCAAATAAGCTGATCTGGGGGGTAAGGAAAGGATCTACTCAAAATGGCCATTGCAACCGATCTATATCCACTAACAAAAAGACCAGATGCCTGGGTTGGATTCCAAGCTCGCCTGTAGCCCACTGATGTCAAGCAAGAAGGATGCTGTGTGCATGGCCATGGGCAGCAAAAGGCCCCAGGTTGCTGTGGTGAGGAACTGCCACCTCTCTTGGTTCTTTTCCTGTGCCTGGAGCAGCATCAGCCATCGTCTTCCCACGCTCTAAAGCCATCAGGAGCAGTTTGGGTTGAAGAAATGCCAGCGGGCTGCACGAGAGCAGGGCTTTACTATGCAAGTTGTGCAAGATCATCTTAGCAGTAGCAGCTGCATAAATCCTGAGTTACAGGGCTGAGAGAGGCTCTTATCTGCAGGTTCAGGGACTCTTTGTACTCTGTAAAATGCAAAGCAAAGAATGAAGTGCAAAGCTGAGCGGGATGAAGAAGCAAGCATGAAATCCATCAGGTGTCAGGTTATTACTTGCTTTCACCTGTCGTAGAAACAACTCTTGAAAATCATTTCAGATTTATTAAAGAATGGGAAAAACGGTTAATGCACTGGAATACTAAGAGATGAGACTCTTCGTGTGATGGCAACCATTATTCTCATTCTCTTGAGCCCTAAAGAGAGCTTTCATGGCCAGCAGCCCTATGTTTGACTGCGAAACTGGTGAACACAAAACATTTTCAAGGGAATTAATCAGGCAATGACAAATCCCCTCCTCTTCAATCACCATTATGGGGAAAGGCACCATGTGCACAAACACCTTCGAGGAGCAAACATCTTCTACAGGGCACGGGAATGGAGCAACCTGAGACATATAAAGCACTGACTGATAGTCAGCAACCCAGCCATAAATAATGGCAGGAACCGTTGGGTAGAAATGCAACTAATAAATCTAATTACCTAGAAATTAAGAGAATTAATCAGCATAAGACAAGCCTAATCGTGCTTAACAGCCATATCCCCCATCTCATGCAAATGCCTGACTTATGCATTGTAAACAACACTTGTGGCTGATTAACACCAAGGAGGGTGGAAATGGATGGACGTGTAGCAGCTGTAGGGATGGAGGAAAGAGGAACAGAGAGCACACAGCTGCCCAGGGGTGTCCTGGGGCTGGTGGGTGCTCTGCCCCCCCCAGACCACAAAAGCTGAGCGTCCCTCTGGGAGCAAAATGCTATTTGCTACTTGTTGGCTTAGGGGAGTTAATTCACCCTCATCACCCCAGCACCCACAAAATGGCAAGGGGTGTTAGTGAGAAAAACGATTCTGACTTGGTGGCATCCTGCAGGAATGATTGGAATTGGATCATAGGCAGCAAATACGCCGTTAGTTCAGCACCACTGCCCTGCTTTGTAGCCGTTCAGCACGTTGCATTACTGCAAGGCACTAATAACTAACCAGGAGAAAAACGTCTCAAGCGAGCCAGTGGCATCGCGGAATCACAGAAATTAATCAGCAAATGTGAAACGAGCTTCCATAAAACCTCCGTGCTCCCTGTCGAGTGGCTGGATTGAGTCACGACATTCACTGAAACACTTCTGATGAGCTGCCCAGGAAGAGTGGGAATTAGTTAATTAACACAAGGCAAGTGCGTTTCCACTTAGTCAACACCGACGAGGGGCTACGGGTATTTCTCATCATCAGCAGAAGTTCTCTGCTTACCTGGCACTTCTGCCATCAGATGGGACTGAAATTAACCGCCACCCTGGAAAGCAGCGTGAGCACCAGCCTGTGTCAGCACAAAGTAAATTCGCCTTCAATTAGCCCGTACCTGTAATTCGTACGAATGATGGGAGCCTTTACAACGGCCCCAAATGGCTGTGGGTAAGCAGCACGGCTTAAAAAGCAGGAGGGCTACAGTGAAGGAGGGCAGTGCATGTCATGCACCGAATAAAGCAGCCCGATTCCCCTTCCCTGTTCAGCAGGTGTTTGGGAGAAGCTCTGCCCAGCAGCATGCAGGAGACATCAGCGATAACTGGTGAACGATTTCCAACATCTATGCAGTAATTCTTGCTAATTACCCTCACCAGCCATTCCTGCAGAAGGAAGATGACACCTCCCTTGCGACAAATGCCACCAATTATCCAGACGTCTCTCGCCTTGCTGGGACATCATTAATCTGACATAAGTGTTCCTCCCTCCTCTGCCCACGTCAGGGAAGACAGAAATGGTTCTCGTGAGATGAGGAGGCCACCGATTACCCTGCGCTCCTTAGAGGGGGAACTTAATCAGCACAAAGCAAATACATCAGCCAGGAAGCACAAGTGTCTGCAATCCCCAGGCATTAGGAGACACTTTCCATAAGTAAATATCTGTAATGGGTGAGTGCTCTCCATAAAAACATATACAATCACTCAAGCAGAAGGCAAGTACTCTTCCAGCTAAGCAGTGCTGTCATGGGTACTGTCAGAGCTGCCCTCTGTCCATAGTAGAAAAACAGCTATTTTTGAGGATCAATCTGGCTTCAGTTTATTTTACCCACTTTTTGTACTGGATTATTTTCCCCTCCCTTCCCCTCTCTTCCCCTCCCCTCCTCTCCCTTTCCCTTCCCTTCCCTTCCCTTCCCTTCCCTTCCCTTCCCTTCCCTTCCCTTCCCTTCCCTTCCCTTCCCTTCCCTTCCCTTCCCTTCCCTTCCCTTCCCTTCCCTTCCCTTCCCTTCCCTTCCCTTCCCTTCCCTTCCCTTCCCTTCCCTTCCCTTCCCTTCCCTTCCCTTCCCTTCCCTTCCCTTCCCTTCCCCTCTTTCTGTTCCATTCCACTCCATTCTGTCCAGCTCCATTCCACTCTATTCCATTTTATTGTTTTTCTACTTATACCACATGAAGATAACTATTTCCCTGTTTTCTTGATATAAGAGCCCCTCAGAAACACCCTCAGTCCTTTACTGTTACCAGTTCAGTCCCAGGCACCTTTGCCATATAATCACAGTCACCATTATCACAGTACAAATAGCTTTGCCTTCCTAGACTTAAATTCTCATTTTCCTTGGGGAGATGAGCAGCTCTCATCCATCAGAGTTCGAACAGTGGCTTGTACCAGAGGGCAGTTTCTATAATTACATGTTACTCCAACAGAACTTCCCACAATAATTACAAAAATAGCATTTTTTTCTTTTATATCTGTATCCTAGGTCATCATTCCTGGCACAGAGCAATGGTTTTTCGGCCAGTTTTAGGTATGTTAAACATCTGTTTCAAGGGTCTTGCATTGCCTTCCACAGGGACATGTATTGCACTGGGTGATTTCAAGGTTGCATCAGAATCCCAGACCTTCCAAGCATGAGGTGAAGCAGAAATATCACATTTTTGGGTATCCTGGTGAAGAGGAGGCTCTGGGAAGACCTCACTGTAGCCTTCCAGTACCTAAAGGGAGCTTATAAACAGAGCTGTGCACCACAAGTAAATTCAGAAATCTCCCCAGTCCAGAAAAACATCGTGAGGAAACATTTTTATTTTGATTGGGAAGAAAGCAGACAAAGATTTCCATTTCCACTCCCTCTCTCCTCCTGCAAGGAAGTGCAGCAATCAGTACTGCACGAAATTCTCATTTCCCCCCTCACACACAGAGAAACTCTCCTTGGGCTTTCTCCTGCAAATTAAAAACAGTATTTTCTCCACTGCGATGTGTGAAGACTGAGAAATGCGTTTCTCTTCTTTAAAATCATTTGAAAGCTCCTAAACGGAACCATTCCTCATTTTTAAACTTCTTTTTCTCTATTTTTTCCTGCAGTGTTTCTGCCTGCAGCCATCCCAAAGCGCTCCCCATGTGCACGGCCCAGCCAACAACAAGACCTGGGAAGGCACAAGGCTTCCCCCAGCCCTCACTCCCCATATCTCACCCCAACCCAAAAGCTTCATCCCCACCACACTGAGCAACCACCCCTGCAGCATGGACCTCTCCATTCCAAGCTCCTAAATGAGTGTGAGGAGCAAAGATGCTGGTTGGGAATCCGGGTTCTCCCAGCAGGGCCTTGGACCACAGCCTGGTGGAGGCACACGACCTCACTCATCACACCCAAAATGCTGTCCCACCGTCCCCAGCCCTGGGAAGGAGCCCAGCCAGGACCTAAGGGAAGTTTCTATATAGGAAATTCTATGGGACCCGTTCAGCAGCTTCACAATTCTGGGTATGCATGGGGAAGTAGAGGGATGCATCACCACCTCCATGCTTCATCTCGAGTCCTGATCGTAGCAGTGAGCTTGTTCCCATTGGGGCTTGCAGGAACGGCAAGATGTGGCATCAGGAACCTCTAGGAGAAAGCCACAACCCATGAAAACGTGGTGGAACAGAAAAGGAAGCACCACATCCAATTTGCCTTTAAGGATTGTCCCATGGTTGTATCCCAGGGTGGGAGATGGGAGGCTGAGGATATGGTGCAGGGCGGGAGAGGTGCAGAAGAACCCCATTCTTCATCTGAGAAAACACAGATGAGGAGCCCTATGGTTTCCCCATAGCAGGTCCCGTCCCACCAGCAGGTCCCCTCCCACCTTCAGCCCTCCACAGATGAGCCCAATGTCCCCAACCCCATATGGTGGTGATAGGATCTACCCAAGGTCCCTAGGTTAGAAACAAAACCACAGTACCCTGAGCCCTGCTGTGGGGCTGCTCCCACCAGGCTGAGCATCCCTTGGAGCACTCAGTGACAGAGCACCTCATACTCTGGATTTGTCCATTGAGTGAGGCAAAGTCCCAGGCTGTCCCCATACCTCCTCACTTGCTGTAGTGCCCAGCTCTGCTCCCAGCACACTGAAGTCATTCACCTGCAGCTCCCACAGGCAGCGCTGGATGTGGTGCAGGACCCCTGGGACCCCACGTTGGTGCTGCTGGAGGCCAGGCACAGTGCTTGGGGACAGGGAAGAGGCAGAATTTCTGTGCACCTGTGTCACAGCACAACCCAGGTTTGGAAGGATCAGGAGGGGGTGGCCAGGCTGGGTCCCACACACACATCTCTGCATCCCGCAGTGCTCTGGCTGGGGCCGGTGGCTCCTTCAGGGCTCCTGGGGCTGCCAGCTCCTGCAGGTGACAGTTCTCCTGACAGACGGCCCCATTCACCTGCAGTCCCCACATATAGGGTCACCCATAGGGTCTCAGGCACCAAGCCACCAACACCCCATGCTCTAACTCCATCCCTGACCTTCTCCAAGCTCTCCTGCAGCTGCTGGAGTGCAGCCATCCTCTCCTTCCTCAGCACTGCCCGCAGCTGCCCCAGGGCCTCCTGCCTCTGCCGCAGCACGGAGCGCATCTGGAGCTCCAGCCCACAGAGCCTCTGGAAAAGTGTCACAAAAAAAGGAAAGTTGTCACATCCCAGGCCAACGCCAGCAAGGCTCATCCCTCGAGTGCAGGCTGTGTCGCTACCCAGCACCCCACTGCACCTGGGGCACTGGCCTCCCTCCTGAGAACCACGGACCCTCAGGTGCCCAAAGTCAGGCTGCATGGGGCCCTGATGGTGGGCAACCAGCCCAGGGCAGGGATTGGTGCTGGGGAGGCTGTAAGGGTCCTTCCAACCCAACCGTGCTGTGATTTTGATTCTGCAATTAAAACCTTCCCACAGATCATCTCGCTTTGGCTTTAGGAGCTCACAAGTATCACAAAACGGGACACTCAGTGGCTGGGTGAGAGCCTTGCATTGCCAAGGGAAGCATCCCTCCCACACCCACAGCACCCCTGGTGGGCACCAACCTCCTGCAGCTCCCGCTTCTCTTCTCTGAGATGCAGCATTTTCCTCCTCATGTTCCCTGGACATCCAGCACAGCCCTTCTGCCCCTGCTGAGACAAGAACCCCCTTTCCACCTTCCTCCTGTTCTTCCCTCCTCTCTTATGGCACAGCCAGCACAGTCCCTGCCCTGCTGCCCCCCAACCTGTCCCTCTGTCCCCCCCTTCATCCATCTCAGAGCACTCACCACTTTCTCCACATGATCCCACGCACGTGCCCTGCAGAAAGGAGAGCATCACCCAGTGGGACACCCCAAAACTCCCTCTTTGCCCATAGGACCCCAGAGCAGGGTCACAGCACACACCTGACCCCATCCCCATCGCTCTGCATGCCCCAATCTCCAGCTCCTGGCTCCTGCATCCCCTCCTGGCTGCTCCTCAGGGCCCGGCGCAGCGCTGCCAGCTGGAGGGAGCAGGATGGACAAGGGTGGATGGCACCAATCCATCCAGCCTTGGGCATTGTTGCGGCGTTCAGCCAGCACTTATGCAGCTAATTAACTTGATGAAGGCAATGACTTTTACGAACTGGTTTTGAACAATCGCCCCTACGCTGGAGGGTTTTTCTTCAGGATTTCCTTCGCAATTCATTTCTTTGATAAACGTCCCCATGCTGACAGCCTTTCCATGGCCATTGTAAGGGGCTGGAAAAGGTCCTATGTGGGACCCAAGGACCTCCATATGGGGACAGCCACCCTACCAGGCCCATCCACACGCACCCTGTGGGACAGGATGGCCTTCTGCTTCCAGTGCTGCCACCGGGGCTCTGCTGCATGCCCTGGGCAGGACACCCCATGCTGCCTCTCTGCCCAGGGGCTGCATCTCCCAGCAGGTCCCTCTGCTGCATTGGTGCCTGTAAGAGAAGGTTGGGGACACCACGAACCCACCAACGAGTGGGACTGGCTCTGGGCTGCCCACCCTCACTGCCACATGGTCCCACCATCACCCATCCCCAGGGGGGTCCCTGGCCCCACCAAGCCCCCTGTGACCCCTCCTGGACCCCTGCTTCAGCCCCCCGTACCCCAAGGCCAACAGCACACTCACAGAGAGCTCTCCTCCGCCCATCACCATCTTCCTTCTTGGCAGTGAGGATGAAATCCCCCCCATGCCACCCCCGGCGTGCTGGTAGCTCCTGCCATCTGTGATGTCCCACAGCCCTGGCCCTGCTCCTGCTGGCTGAGCTGCTTGAGGGTCTCCGGAGATGTCCAGCTTCCCCATCCCCACCATGCAGAGAGGTGACTGAGGGCTTTGCCTTGGAGTGTGGTCCCCAGTGAGATGCATCCCCTCTGCCCTGTGCTGGGTGCTTGGAGGAGGCCAGGCAGGGGGTCTCAGCCCCACTCTGGCTCAGCCTGGATATCCTGGCTCCCAGTGACTCCAGGCTTCCCCTCCTCATCAGCTCTGGGGACTCATCCTGCTCAGGGCACTGCCATGGGAGCAGGGCCCCATCCTGCCCACTGCCATCATCTTCCTCCTCCTCGTAGATCCCCCCTGTGTCCTCCCAACACCTGGCAGCCACATCCGCGGTGCAGACAGAGCTGGAGCTGCTCCTGCTGCCCCACCGTGACCCCCAGCAGCTTCGCACTCCACGTTCCACCAGCCCTGTGTGGGGAGCAACAGGTCTGGAGCCCCCCAAGCTGGGATCTGCAGCCAGAGCTCTGCCTTCAGTGGGAGCCCCTGCCAAAATGCAAACAGAGCAGGAGTCACCGTGTGGGCTTCGGGTAGAGCAATTTATCCCATAGCACAACAGCACAGCATGGCAGTAAAGGCACAGGATGCTGCATGCTCCACTGCTGCAGCAAGGAATGCCCACCTGATGTGAGCCCTACATAAGCTCTGCTCTCCACCTCTCACCATTTTGCCCTCTGTGTTGCACTGTCCCTTATTTAAATGGGGACAGCTGTAGGATGCTGTGCACAGAGTGAAGCTCCCCATCCCCACTCACCGGCGGTCCCACGGACACTGACAGTGTCAGGAGAGGCACTGCAGGCTCTGCCACGTGTCCCAGCACTGCGCTGCTGCAGGGAGGATACGGATGGAGCACCCCAGATTGCAGGGTTCTGCTCCAGAAGGCTCAAGGTCCTCATTACGCTTCAGAGTGAACGTCCCAAGCAGGGTGCAGCTGGGCTCAGCTGTGTGATGGCTGGGGGGCACAGAGTGGCACCTCCCTGGTAAAAGAGGAGAGGTCAGCGAGCTCAATGCAGCCCGGAGCTGATCGGCACGCTGTTGTCTGTCACCTGGCAACGTTGTGGTGTCCTGGCCAGTCCCAGCCCGCCCAAGGGCCTCCTCCACCTCCCCTGGGCCTCCTCCCCAGGAACTGCCCCTGAGGCTCTGTGTCTGTTCCTCCTCCATCAGAACACTTTCCTGGTCCCTCCCGGCCTTGACTTCCTCCCCCTGGGGGTCCATCCTCTCCCTGGGACACTCTGCAGTACCATCTCTCCAAATCACTGAGGCTGAAGCTCGATGATCATTAATGTCTCTCCCAATTTCAGGCATTCTATGATTCTACAACCTCCTCCCAGATCCTCTCCTGCCCTGGCCCTGCTAGAACAACCCCTTCCTTGGTCCTCCGTCCCCTCTGGGTCACCTCCCCCAGAGAACCTCTTCCATGCAGAGCATCTTCCCCATTGCCACCTCTCCTATCTCTGCTTACCTAGCCCTCCTCCTCCAAACCACCTCCTGCTCTGGACAACCTCCCCATGGCCACCATCCCTCAATCTCCTCCCCTGGGCCATCTTCCTTTGGGCCACCTCCCCATGAACCTTCCCTGGGCCTCCATGGCCTCCCAATGGACAACTAACACTCCTCGGATAGCAGAGTCACTTCATGCCCAGAGCCCCACCACCCCAGGGCTCCCCCCAGGACCCCCAAGCTGCAGATCTGGGGGGCGAGAGAGAACCTCAGCACTGCACCTTTTAAAACTCCTGAATTCAAGTTTTATTACCGTGTAGGAGAAGAGGGGGGTCACTCACAATATATTGCTCGAAAAGAAATACATTCAACAGCATTTACAGTAGAATGACATTAAAATCCTTTGGTGGGGAGTACGGGGGGAAATAGAAAGACCAGGAGATGGTGCTCAGATGAAGTGCTGCCGTTCAGTGATCTCTGGAAGATACCACAAGTTTTAAAATTAGCCTAAAAAACAGGGGAGGGGGGATTTGTGTTGCTGGGTGCTCCTCACACTCCCCAGGCTCTGCTAAGCTGTGCAGCGTCTGCGACGGTGATCCTGGGAGAGAACAGAGGACAGGAGCTCGCAGCGTCCCACCTGTAGGACGTGGTGCCAACAGTCCCTGAGCAACGTCACCCTGCATCCTGGGGACACGGGGCTCCAGCTCTGGGACATTCTGGGGTGCAGAGGCTGCTCACCTTTCCCAGCTCTCTTGCATCGATGAAAAATACTTCAAAGAAAAAGGAAGAAAATAAGGCATTATTCAGGTGGGAGCATCTCCAACGCAGATCTGCGTGTCTTGGGGCTGGATGCGGCACAGCTGGAGTCAGCTGCATTCAACCAGCTAACACAGCAGCTTTCAGAGCTTTGGAGCAAAACGTCGCTTCTCCACTTTGGGAATGAATCAGCATCACCCCTGCACACCCTGCCTGGGGATGGGCCCAGGGAAGCACTCAATCCTCGTGCTACAAAAACTCAGACAGATGCGTTCCGTCTTCATCATTTTTCATCTATTGTGTACCATAGAAATTTAAGCAAAATAATTTTATGTATATTTATATATATTTATATATATATATATATATAAATTAGAAGCAAATAAATAAGATTTAGGGGCACGTTGAGATCAGTGGGTGTTGCCACTCCAATAGCCACTCACTACTGTTATGCCATACAAGGTCTATGTATACTGTACACACAGGTTTGCTGCAGGCAGCAGGTGCTGGAAGAGAAGCCAACCAGGAGGAGACTGATGGTGGAGGAACCTGATTGCATAAGTGTTCCGTGGGTTTCGCAGTTCCCATTGCCTCAAAGTTCATTATTGCTAATTATCTTCTGATGGGGATGTGGCAGTCCGGCTACATGGGAGGGAGCACTCAGGACGGTGTGATGAAGACCCAGAGAACAATGAAATGCAGGTGTGCAGGTTTCTGGTTCCCTCTGTCACCTCTTGGGTCTTCCCTCTCCGTACCAGAAGCACCACAGTCATGGAAACAAAGCAGGTCATTCAGGCTGAAACATCCTGATGGGTGTGATGGGGACAGCTGTAGGAACCACCCGCAGCCTTCCAGCAACGGCCACAACCCCTGCTATTTTCTGGGCAGAGATTCACAGCTGGTTTTTCGTTTGGTTTTGAAAGAATCCGAACCAGGAGCAGAATTTCCTTTTAACAAATGGGGGAAAAAGATGCCAAAGGAAAGAGCTCACACAAATGCACGGCATCCCACAACACGAGCATCTTTGGAAGTTGTTGTCTCAGCCGAGGTGCTGAAAGATACAGGCAGCAGCTCCTGACAGCAATAAATACCCGAGGCTAAAAACGAACCAGAGCCACGCGTCCTCTTTCCTAATTAGTAGCTGAAAAAGCCACCATTTAAAGAAAAAAAAAAAAAAAGAAAAAAGAAAAAAAAAGATGCTATTTATTAGTGCATAAAAAAATAGGTTTGGAATCCCTGTTTAGATTCTCTTTGTCAGATTTCTCCCTGTGTGTGTGTGTTTATTTGCACTGTCAAGCACTGGCAGGGCGCTGCCGTGTGTCCTTGCTGTCCCTCCATCTGTCTGTCCTGCTGCAGGTTGGCCACACCAGAGCAAACACGGCAGCTCAGAAGATATCAGGGCACGAGCTCCAGTCCTGCTTGTCCTTGGCCTCCCAGTAGCCGCCTTTGTAGGTGCAGATGAGCTCCCCTGTGATGGGATCCACCTTCCGCTCAAACCACAGCGGGATGTAACCCTCGTAGTCCTTGCCTGCATGGGGAGAAGCAAGGCATGAAGATGAGGTTGGGTTTGGGGAAAAACTCCTTTCTTGGAGAAAGTGGTCAGCTGTTGGAATGGGTGCTCAGGGAGGTGATGGAGCCTCTGTCCCTGGAGGAGTTTGAGAAATGTGGAGGTGGAATCACAGAATCCTTAAGGTTGGAAAAGACCACTGAGGTCATCCAGCCCGACCATCAGCCCATCTTCACCTCAACCCTCAAAACGATGTGGCACTTAGGGACATCACTAATTATCTTCTGATGAGGATGTGGCAATCCGGCTACAGGTGGCCCATGGGAGGGAGCACTCAGTATGGTGTGATAAAGACCCAGAGAACAATGAAACGTTCGTTCAGTGGGCACGGTAATGATGGGCTGGCAGTTGGGCCTGGTGATCTTACAGGTCCTTTCCAACACGGATGGCTCTATGATTCTACGAATGGGCACAGTGGGGATGGGTTGGTGGCTGGACTTCATCTCGGAGGTCTATTCCAACCTTAACGATTCCACGATGAGCAGTCTGCCCTTCCTCCCCAACCCCTACAGGGTTTCCCTGCAGCCCCTCATTCCCCACCTCACAGCATCCCACCTTCCTCCAGGGCCTCCACAGCCTCAGCCTCCCTCCTGCGGCGCACAGCCCTCTGCTTCTCCTCCAGCCTCTGCTTCTCCACGTTGGCCTCGTCCCAGCGGCCGCTCTCCATCAGCCTCTGGTCGGGACGCAGCCGGCTGTCCGTGGGAGCCACGCGCTCCTCGGGCTCATTCAGGGTGAGGGCCAGGCTGGAGAAGAAGTACATGTTCTCGGCATTCTCCCTGCAGGCAGACAGACCCGATGAGGACCACAAATAGGGCTCCCATCCCTTCAGGTGCTTGTGTCTCATGCCAGCCTTTCCAAAAATACTACACCTGTTATTCTGATCCCCAAAAACCACCCTTAAGGAGCTCTGCATCCCACCCCATAAGTGGAAATGGTGCCTTCGGGAGGCTAGGAGGAGATGCCAGTGATGCCTGCAGGGGCTCAGGGGGAGCATAGATTCATTGGTTTGGTATAGAGAAACTAAAAGCAAAGCCAGCATGAGGACAAAATCACTCCCTGCCACAGCCAGCAGCCAGGAAAGCAGAACTCCGACCCAAGGAGCACGCCAGACACACAGTAAGCAACACCACAGGACAGGACTCACGGGAGGGGGTACTTCTTCCACAAGACCTTTGGGGACAGCGTCTGGTAGACAGTTTTCTGTTTGCCCTCGGAGCCGGCGCTGCCATGGCTGCTCTGCACGATTTTGGAGCACTCCATCTTCTCGTCCCATGTGCCCGACATGACATAATGGGCTTTGCCATCAGCATCACTCACCACCCCTGTCACCTGGCGGGAGAGACAGCAGTGTAAGAGATGGCTCTGGTGGCTTCTGAAAGCATCCAGAGTCCTTGAGAAGTGAAATACAATGACTCAAGTGGTGCTCTGTATCCTCAGACATAAGGACAGAACCCAGCAAGGTCCCATGCTGACACAGCCCCTCCGCCCTCCACCCTCATCCTCCCCAGGGCCATACACTGGTCCCAGCTGTCAGCTCTGTCCCCAACGCCCACCTGCAAGGACCTGTGGCACACTGAGTTGCTGGTGCAGCTCCGCAGCCCTATGCTGGCTGCATCCCACCCCAGTGCCAGGACCCCATGAGCCCAGCTGGGAGAACAGAACCCAGCTGGAAGGGCAAAGACAGGCCAGAAGAAAAAGCAGGGAGATTTTTGGCTACGTACCTTTCGGGGGACATCCCTGGAGAAGTAGCTGTAGGGGGTAAATTTCAGCTGGCATTTATCTTTTGACTTATGGTTAACAATCTCTATTTCACCAGACTAGATAAAAGACACAGAATCACAGCAAGTGAGAGACTTTGCAAGGAGACAAATGAGCCATTAATCGTCATTTGTGCAGCTGCACATCAACCTCAGTGCAGAACTACATCTGCTCCCCACTCCATTCCCTCCAGCCCCACGGCATGACGGGCCCAAGTAAAACACCCCACGCCAGACCTGGCCCCACACTGCCCCGTTCCCCAAAGAGCCCACAGGCACTGACCTGGTCAATCCAAAGCTTGCCCACAATGATATTGTGAACAGTGGAAGTGACTTTCCTCCAGACGTAGTGATTCCCACTGGAGTGAAACTCGAGGTGGATGGCACCTGTGGAGAGCCCTGGGCTCAGGGTGGGGACTGGACGGGTGCCCGAGCACCAAGCACCATGCCTGCCTTCTGTCCTCCAAAAGCTTTCATTTTGAAAGCCCACGAGGAACATGTTGCTTGGTTCTCAGAGTCATAGGATATGGCACAAGCGAGCTCTCATCCCCTTGGCCAGGTCACCTACCCAGAGGCATGATGGAGAGGTATTTGCCCCTGAACTTGCTGGCGATGGTGATCTCCTGCCACAGCGTCCAGCCTCGCTTGGAGAAGACGTGGTGGGCAGCTGCTGGGGGGTGGTGGCTCACCTGGCAGGGAGAAAGGACAGCCCATCAGGTGCTGGCCCCGTCCAGTGCTCAGTCATCACTGCAAGACCCAAAGAGAGGTGACAGTTTTGGTCCCAAGGATGCTCAGAGGCTGAGCCCGCAGCTTGCCCAGCACTGCAGTGCCTTCCCATGGACACGGACAGGAAAAGCAGATGTGGCTGCAGCACAGCCTGCCTGGTGGCTCTAGGGACACCACTCAAGCACTGTCCCTTGGAAGGAATATGTAAGCCACTGTGTTCAGAGGTACTTTGCACCAGGGTAATTACAGCCCAAGTGCCCTGGGCAACTGGATTACAACCGTGAGCAGAGCCAAAACCTCTCCATTAAATCCCACTGTCACTGGCAGGAGAAAATCCTATTTGGATAACTGGATTTCAGGCAGTGGATTACCAACGCCTCACTCAGCATGTCAGTGGACCAAGGGATGTTCAGAGCCATGGGAACAGCATCTGTCTGTCCATCTATCCATCCCACGGTGCCAGCACAACCCAGGGCAGCACGTGCTGACTGCACCACCAACACAGGGCTGCTTCAAGCCTGCTCCCAATCTGCCCTTTGAGATAGGGCCAGGATTTAGGCAGATTTAGAGGCTCTGCTAACGGATCAAATGCTCCAGAGAGTGGCAACAGAGTTGTTTTGCTCTGAGTTACAGCAAACCAAATTTTGGATGAACCTCTCCAGCCCCTACCATGCGTCAGCACCCAAAACTCATGTACTCATTACACCCAAACCAGCTGGAACAGGCACATGGCAGGATCAGAAATGCCAGAAAGTAGAGTCAGCAGGGATACAAATCCTGGAGGTCATCTACCAAAGCACCTTTACTCCCTTGATAGCTCTCACTGGCACAGAGGGGCACAGTGTGACCTAGAGCCTGCTCCACATCTGGACTAGCAGCAAAACCCTTTCCACACGTTGTGCCCTCCTGAGGAGCTATCTAGGCTGCCTCCTCTAGTCAGAAAAGGTTCCTGCCTCCCTCTGAACAAGGTGCAGCATCTCCAGAGCACTGCCAGAGGGGTCCAGGCACCTGGAGGACACAGTTTGCAAGCACAGCCCCACACAGCCCTCACCCCAAGGGTCTCAGTGCCACCTGGCACTGCAGGTCTTGAATCTACACTGGTTTCTGCAGTGACGGAAGCCATGGGTTTGTTCCTGAGTGCTGAGAAACGTGATGGTCACTGTCTCTGGGACAGCACAGCCACCTCCTGGGGAGCCCAGAGCCCCCCCAAAAATGATCTCCTGCCTACAGCGGTGATAAACAGCCCTGTCCATCCCCTGGAGGATGGGAAGCACCAGCTGAGCATGCTATGCTTTAAAGAGCCAATTTCCTTCCAAGGTCTCAACCCATTATGCTCCCCAGGTTTTTTAATTAAGACCTGCTGGTTGATAGATGAGCATCAGATGCACTCTGTGATTAGCACACAGGGATGCTGGAGGTTCTCAGGTTGCCACCAAGCTTGGAAATTAAAACTTTGCAATATAACAAGAAAGAAACAAGATCTTGAGGCTCCATCCAGCCATGAAGTGAACTGGAACAGGGAGATGCTGCATCTCCTACACAAAAGGGCCGCTTTGACACAAAGAGCAGGACAGGCACACGGAGCCCTTCTGCACAGCTCACCTGCTCACACAGGGAACGGAAGCCCAGCTCCTCCAGCCTGTCGAGCTCATAGGTTTCCCCCAGCAATGGATTGAACGGCTTCGCTGTGCGGTGCACCGTCGTCGAGTAGGAAGACACTGAGAAGGCTGCCACGAAACACATCTGCTCTGTGGAGCTCTCACACTTGACTGCTTTGTCCAGCAGCTCGTGGTACTCCAGGTCCTCTGTCAGCCGCTGCAGCATGGAGAGTGGCTCATTGAAGTTCACCTGCAGGGAGAAGAGAGGTGGTCAGCAAAGCAGGATGGATGGCAGCTGGGCACTCCAGCACCGCATCCCGATGCGCTGTGACACAGGGCTGGATGTGGCAGGGAGCTCTGCACAAGCACTGCCCTCTGCAGCATCAAGTAAATGTTAAATAAAACAAGAGACTCGCACTATAACGTGCTCCCTGAACCATAGCACAAGTGCCTGAGGGCTCTGAAGTGCCCAGCTGGGCTGAGCTGGGAACAGCCGGGCTGGGAGCTGGCAGCCCATGAGCTAACCCAGCACTGTGGCAGCTCATACGTGCCCCAAACCCCTGAATGGCCCTGAGGAGTGAGCCCAGCTCCCTGCTGGGAACATCCCACATCAACGAGCATCCCTGAGCACCTCCATCACCTCCATCCCTGAGCCCAGTGAGTGACAGAACCCTAAACTCCCAGTGAGGGGCACGGATGAAAGCCAAACAGCACAGAGCAATGGGCAGAGGGACAGCCCTGTCCCAGGGGAAGCCTCAGCTCACCTTTTTTCCAGCCCTAAATCGTAGCTTTGTTAATTAGAGATGTTTGCAATACACTGCCCAAACCATTGCTGCAAATGGGAAAAAAATAAGTGCTTGACTTCAGCAATTCTTTGTATCAGAAACAAGTGAAATCATTAAAAAAAAAAAGGACAAGTGAGATATTTTCTGTTGCATGAGTGGAAAGTCTTTTGCCTCCAAACCATCTGAAATTCCCTTTTTGCTTCCAGTTCACAACAAAAATTCTATTTTGGAATGAGCAGATGGCTGAAGGATGGGAGAACCACTTCCATAAGCCAAGTTACATGCTTTATATTAAAGAAAACAAACTCCAGACTGTTCCACTCTGGGATTTAGTCAGTAAGCAATCTTACAGCATCCAAGAAAGGCGGTTATGCAGCAAAGGCAGCAAAGCATCCACCGAGGAGCACAGCAGTGCCAGCTCAGCAGAACCTCAGGAGAGATGTAGGCAGCTCACCAACAAAGCAGCAGCTGCATCCCACACCAGCACTGTCACACAGCAAAACCTTCCAGCAGAGGGATGAAGATGACCTCCTCCCAGGTAATGCAGTGTTCATTCAATTCAAATGAAGGAAGGCAGTGTGTGCACGGGGAGGTTTTCCATGCATCACGTCCCCTGGGACATGCAGCCATGCATTGCTGCCAGGCTGTGGCTGCTCTGGTGGGTCTGAATGTTAGGAAAGGTAGAGATTTCCTCTCTCAGCACCACAGCTGCCGGTATTTCACATCTTGAGCTGTTTTCTGTACCCTTCACATCCTTATCTAATCTTGATGCTGTTGCAGCAATGCTAACTGACAGTGCTGGGCTGCAGCTCTCAGCTGGCAACAGCACAAGGAAGGGACAAACTCACCCTTCAACTTCGAGTGTATCAGGTACCATTCTAAGACATTAAATCTATTCTCTTGTGCTTGTCAGGCAGGTTCTGGGGAAATGAACTGCTTGCAGTGGCACCCACGCCACATTTACTGGGCCAGTCAAGACCTGCAAGTGACCCATCAGCCTGGACAGGGCTGGTGTGCTCTGGAAACTGCTTTCTGTTACAGTTTTGAGGGAGGTTTGCTACAGGCAGTGTTAGGTCTGGGTGGGTAGCAACCAGCACAGCCCACTCCAGGTACAAACCAGCAGTAGGATACTCCTGCACTCACAGAGGATGAGAAGTTACACATTTCTAGTCTAATAACAACAGGGATTTCTCCTCCACTTTTCCAAATAGCAAGGTCCCCTCCCTCTTGCCCTGAGTGAAAGACTTGCATCTGCAGAGATTCCAGGTGCCCTGGTTCCCTCTTCCTCCCTGGGTTTGCAGATGCTCAGGCAATGCCCCCCAGCTCCAGGGTGCACCCCATAAGCACACTGTGGCCCTCCACAGCCAGCACAGAAGCAGAAATCAGCCCTAAACAAAGAGCCAGCCTGACGCAGACAGCCCCTAATGCAACAGCAGAGCCATTTACCACAAAACAATCAGCAGCACAACTCCATGCTGAGCATCCTCTTGCCTGGCTGCTCGAGCTTTCTGCCTGTGCTGGTTCTTCAGAGCACTGAACAACTCACGTTAATGGCAGCCAGACCCCAGGCTGGGTTTGCCACATGCTCTCTGTCCTGCTCAGAGGCTGCTGCAGCACCTGCAGGACTACCTGGAGCAGTAACCCAAATGCTCTGCACTGAACCAAAACCCTGAGGTCAGCAGCTTTAGCATGGCAGCAACACCCCTGGGGCTCACTTACAGGCATGGGGATCTTGGAGAGCTCTTTGCCAATGCAGTTCTTCATGATGCTCCAGAGGTTAAGGCTGTAGTTGGGTTTGTCAGGGATGCGGCTCCGTCTCCTTTTCCTCGGCAGGAGATCTTTGCAGGACTCATTGTAGCTGCTTTGATTTGAGCTTTCAAATACCTGCAAAAGCAAGAGGAGGAGCACAGGTCTAAGCAGCACTCACCCAGGCACGGCCAGGGAGCCAGGTGCAATCCTAAAGCCATTTCATCTCACTGCACATCTCACCCACTCTGCCCAACTCACGCTGTCCTCCAGGTTCCAGTCCTCAGGGTGGCCCTCGCTGGCCCCGCTCAGGTTACTGCCCGAACGCCTGTGGGGACAAAGTGCCACCTGGTGAAGGTGGGAACAGCAGTGCAGTACAGCCACTACCACACAGGTGCTGTCCCAAAGCCAAGCACAACACCCAGCAGGCAGTCTTTCCCATGCTTTTCCCATGAGTTTCACCAAACCCCTAAGGCTGCAGCTCGTACCTGTGGTGCTTGGGGTCTGCGGTTACAGTGATAAAAGCTGGTGCATCCTCCATGGCATCAAAATATTCCGTCTCTTCATCTTCATCACTGGCTTCTCCTTTGGCAGACTGCACACTCCCTGGTGGCACAAAGGGGTTGAGATGCTCAGCTGCTGCCCAGGCCCCTTCCAAACCCACTGACATTCACTGCCACCACTGTCTCCTGCTCTGTCCTCTCCCATTGCCAGCAAGACAAAAGCCTGAGCCACGTGCACACCACAGACACCAAACAGGAGGAGACTTCTGAGACGTGGCACTGCCCCCTGGGCACAGCCTCACTGCAGGTACCAGCTTCAGTGCTCTGCCACACAGCCTCTGTACCAGCAGCCAGGATGGCACAGTGCTGACCACCTCTGAAATATCCATTCCCACACCTGCAGCTATTTCGTATTAAACCACAACCTTATGAGGTGGGCAACTTCCCATCACAGAGCTGTGGGTGGTGGTACTGCGAGCATCTGCGTGTCCTGCAGAGCTGTGTGCAGCACCAGGAGGAAACCTCCAGCTCCATCCCTGCTGCACCCCATGCTGCTGAGCCACCTGCAGGCAAGGCACAGCCACGTCCTTGTCCCTGTGTCCCTCCGAAGGAGCAAGGATGCCCGCTGTGATGGGCTCAGGCTGCTGCTGTGCCTACCCTGTACCAGGCACTACCCTCCAGCAGCTCACTGCTCCCTTAAGCCCATACACTCTTTTAAAACAAGACACAGCTCTACACGCAGCTTTTGGCCACCAGGCTGTAACAAACACCTCCTGCAGGGAAGGAGATTTGGTACTGCTATCCAAAAGCCATTTGATTTTACTGCCCGATAAATAACTTTTGCAAGCAGCAAATGAGTCCCAGTTGGGACACGAGCCACGCTGCAGCTGTGAATTCAGCAGCATTTGGGGATTCCTGGGTTTCCTCCAAACACCATGGCCTGAGATGTGCCCTGTTAGCAGGGATAAGATTTGAAACAGCACAAGCAAGCCATGGTCCAGGGGTACAGCACTCTCACAGAGAGCACTGCCCGTGCCTCCCCCCCATCCCCACCCCCTGGGCTCACCCTTGGCAGTGCCGGTGCTGCCTGTGCTGCCCGGTGCCCCACGGCAGGCTCTCTCCAAGCTGTTGTGCTGCTTGGCTAGCTGCTCGATGGTCTCCTCCAGCCGGATCCGCTGCTCCCGCTCATACTGCAGTGCCCGATGCCATTTTCGGCTGTGAGTTTCTGCTAAGTCCAGGAAATCACGGCAAGCCTGCAGGGGAGGAAGGGAAAAATCAGCTGAGAGAACTGCGAGCCCAAAGCTTTGCAGGATTCCCACAACCCCGGGGCTAGGAAAAACATCCCCAAAGTTGGGGAGCCCCGGCTGAGCTCATACAGATGTGGACATCTCCATCCTGGAGAAGTCAGGCAGGACAGCAGGTGACAGCCCCAGAGCCCCCAGCAGGTGTCCTTTTCCAGGGAAGGGGACCCACCAGACACAGGGACACAGACAGATACACCGAGCACGAGAGCCCACTGGATGCTGTGTGCATCCCAGCACCCTGCCTCTCCTGTGCTCAGGGCGTGCAATGGGACATTTCCATGCACAGGATATCCGCTCAGCACAGGGACGCTGCCAGGAGCTGCATGTCCTGCATCTGAACCTTCCAAGCTCTATTTGTAGGTTATTTTCATATCAGGTTGGGGCAGTGAGCCTCCTCAGCACAGCTGCTTCCCGTGTGATCAGCCCCAGGTTAAGCACAGGGGCAGAGCTGCTCCTTCTCTTCCCTCCCCTAAATCTCTGGGACTCAGTGTACATTAAACTTCTTGCACTGAGAAGTAGGGAGATGGCACCTGAATGCTGAGTTATTTCCCAGCCACACAACATCAGGGTTTTGGCTCTTGTAATGTGAATGGATTCTAAAAGGGTTTATCCAAGAAAAGCTCTGACTCATCAGGTTCTTTCAAACCTTTGGCCAGGAGCAAGATTTGAGTCTCATCCAGGGGAAGAAGTTTTTTGCTTAACGCCACCAGAAACGCAGCACAATGCTGCAGGCAAGCAGCACAGAGCAGCAGCTTTCATGCTTTCCATTTCTGACTTCAGGAAGCACTGCTGTGACTACAGAGATCTGCACCAACCTGAGCTCCAACATTTCCCCATGCTGGTCCCCATTCCCTTGTTACCAGGCACCCCGTGCCCTAATGCCCCGCGTGCCTTCACACCCAGCTGCAGGCTGGAGCCTTCCCAAGAAAATCTCTCGTTCCTCTATGAGCTTTCCTCCCAGCACCCATTCAAACTAAACCACGTCGAGCTGGCAGGCTCGCCTCTCCTATTACGCTGATGCATTGCAATAAGAGGATGAAAGCAGAAGGGTAAGTAATCAGATAGCAGCGTGACCTTCCCCACCCAGCAAAGCTTATTACCTGCTCTGAAGGTCTCCATCCCGACCCCAAACACCCATTTAGTGCTGCTGGCTGGCACCAGCAAGGGCAGTGCCAGCTGTCCCAGCTCCAGGGGCTTTGAAATTCTGCTCTGGCAGCACCCTGCTGTGGCTGAGCACTGATATTAAGGTGGCGACGGGAAATGGAATGTTTGGGGTGTGACAGGAAACGACAGGAACAGGAGATGGGCCCTCCTGAGCTGAAGTGGCTGAAGGAGAAATCCCAGGACCTAGACGTGGTGCTGGTGTCCCAAAGAAAAGCACGTCAGCTCCTCTTGGCCCTTTATCACCAGCTGGGCTGTCCTCACGTTCACTGATGATAAGGAGACGTGCGGGTGCCATTCCAGGGCAGCTCTGTGAAGCACCAACCAGCAGCACACCCATGCTGATCTCTGCCCAGGACAAAGAAGCACACATAAAGCGCTGTGCTCTGATGGTCTCTGGGGCTGCAGCCCTCCCCAGCTGTCAGAAGCAATCAAGCCCTCAAGCCCTGCTCGCTGCTGCCTTCCATCAAAGGATGTGGCATGGCTTCTTTCATGCAGTTAAATGAGCAAAAAACTCAAAGAGCTGCACCTTCCCCTTCCATATCTTCCCCTTGCAGTTGGCAGGGTGCTGTCTCCAAGCCCTTGGGCACACTGTGGTGGCATGCTGCTGCTCGGCATGGGGACAGGAAGGTCCCTGCTGCTCTGGGACAGCACCATCCCTTGATGGCATCCATCCTGGTGCTTTCTGCAGGGCCAGTGCTGCTGCGGAGCCACAGCTGCGGTGTGCTTTGGAAATGGCTCCAGGAAAGAGCACATTTATGGGCACAAAAATTCTCTGAAGCACAGCCAACAGGAAGCAGCACCAGAGCGAGGAGGAGCTGCCCTTGCCCACTGGTGACCCTGCAGACAGCACTGAGCAATCACAGTGGCACGGACAGGCCCCAGCCCCAAGGCTTCATCCCCAGAACTGGGAGAAGAGCTGGGGCTGCAGCTCAGCCTGTCCGTCCTCACAGGCAAGATGCCATCACAGCAGTGCCATATTGCCCCGCTCACACCAGCAACGCCCAAAACTCCATCCAGGCTCCAGCCACCCTAAAACAACACCCAGAGTGATGCTGCACAGCCCCAAACGTGGGACATGTCCCGTTCCCAGCCTACCTCAAAGTGGCAGTGGCAATGCTGGCGGGCAGCCTGCAGCATCCATGTCACTATCCATGCACTGCCGCTTCCCGTGCCGGTTGGTGGCTGTCACCTCATCCCAGCAGTGACAACACTCTGTGAAGCTGTCACTGTGCAAGGATGTGGCCGAGGACAAAGTGGTGGCCCTGTCACTGATGCCCCCTCAGGCCAATCCTGGTATGGGTCACCAGCTGCTCATTTCACTTCAAAGGTGCAGACAAGCACAGCCATAGCGCCTTTGTAGGAGCAACGCAGAGAAATCCAGCTTATAAAATCCTTATGGGGTGGCAGCTAAATTTAACCTGAGCTGGATTGCAAGCAAGACAGAGCTGTAAATCCACACGGTGCAGGGAGAACAGCCGTCCTCAGGGCCATCCCTGGGGAGGTCAGAGAGTGAGAGCCCCCCCCAGCAGGGCAGGGGCACACAGCAAAGCCATCCTGTAGATAACAGAGCCATCAGCATCACGCCCCATACAGTGGGAGATTGCTTTGGGTCCTTTGGATCAGAGGGGACATGGGATAGGGCACAGCATTCGGTCAGGGTTTGGGTGAGGCAGCTGGAAAATAGGGAAGAAGGAAATGGGAGGGGGGGGGGGGGGGCAGGCAGGGAGGCTGCTGAGTCACCTCTGAGCGGCCCAGAGGTTCACTGTCCATCACCCAGCCCTTCTGGCATGTCACCAGTGAGCACAGATGGCAGCGAGCCCTGCAGTGCAGGCACAAGATCCTGGGGAGCCCACCAACACCTGTAGGCAGGTGGCAGAGGACTGCAGAGCTCTTCTCTCCTCAATTACGCATCAGGTTCCAACCGAGTGCGGGGTAACGGGGCTGCAAATGCCATCAGAATACAGAGGCACAAGGAGGCTTTGTGGCACAGCAACCCCAAGGCTCCTGCAGATCCCAGTACAGGGAGACACAGGGTGTCACAGAGACCCCGCTGGGATGGACAGATCTAGCAGCATTCACACTCTCATTGCAACACCAGACTGCACGGCTTGCTGCAGACTAATGAGAACGTCATTAACATCCCACAGGCTGTACACTGATGTGGCTGACAGCGATGACCTGATGTCTGCTTAAAGACTGATGAGGTGACAGTGTCACACACCTTGTGGGCAGCGAGGAGCCATGCAGAACACACAGATGAAGTGAATCAGCACGGATGCACTCAGGTGAACCATCACATCAGGCTTTGCACCTCTCGGGAAGCCCCATCGAGCAGAGCCCCCAGCACCAACCACACAGCCTGATGATGGATGCCAATGGTGCTTAAAGCTGCACAGGGTCCTGCAGGAACAGCCCCATGGGACTGCTCCGTCACCCAGCGTGGGAGAAGGGAACAGCCAGATGCACCCCATCATCTCCTTTACAAAGGTGCATTATGCAGCAAAGGCTGTTTCTTCATTCATCATGGGAAAGAACATCCTGCTGCTCTGCACGCTCCTGGTGCTGCGTAGATAAGTGCTCCCTTCCTTCCTGGACTCATCAAAAGGCAGGGACACAGCTGTGCTGCTGCTTAGCAGAAAATATCCCAAGGGAAGGGCCATTTCTGATCCTCTTTTTAGCTCAGAACACATTAACACCACGTCAGTGCTCCGGTCACACAGCACAACACAAAATGTAGCAGTTTGCACTGAGAGCAGCGAGATGCACATGGAATTTGAACCAGGAGAGGGTTTATTTTTCTCTTCATCCCCAGTGGAGACAGAAAGCAAAACGGGAAACGCAAGGAGCGCAGGATGGAGCTGGTCTCAACCCTACATCAGCTCACACACAGCTGGATGGCAAGGATGGTGAGCACAGCACCCACAGCCAGGACACATGGAGCAGCAGTGCAGGGGAACTTCAGAGCTGCACAGATGGCTGAAACGGCAGCAAATCCCTACAGAGCCCTCAGGGAGCCACTGCTGCCCAGCACAGGGCTGCAAGAAGGGAGCTGTGAAGTGCAGGGCTCAGCTCAGAACACCACCAAAAATAACAGTGCAAGGGTACAGGGAAGCTCATTAATGCCTCGGTATGGAGGCATGGATCAGAGCTGCTCCAGCCCACACCTTACTACACAGCATGGAGAACCCAACGCTCTTCCCAGGTGCTCCCTACAGGGTGACACACAGCAGAGCCCTGCCAGCACCCAGCCCTATTGCTGCACCCAAACCTTGCTGTGGGGGCTTGTTAAAGCAGCCCCTACAAGGGCAGGCTGCAGGGAGCCTGTCCCACAGTAACAGAAGCTTTGGCCAGGTGCCCCTCACCAGGGTGAAGCCTCCACGGCAACCCCAGCCCCGCTCCCAGCAGCTGGGGCCATGTAATCCAGCCCTTACAGGGGATTAAAGTGGGGACAGCAGCAAATCCCCCAGTGTGGCTATGTTAACGAGGCTCCTATAATCCTTCCAGCCCAACAGCCACACTCGGTAGGATGAGGAGCCGGCCCAGCAGTGATGCTGGGATGCATGGCAACTCCTGCTCCTTTGGAGCCCCAGAGCAGCACACTGCTCCCTAGCACTGTCCCAGCTCAGCCAAGGGACCTGGGTGCAGATCTCCACTTCCAGGTTTGCACTGCCAACCCAGCAACACACGAATGCCTTTATAGGTAACTGGAGAGCCAGGCTGCAGAGCCAGCGTGCAGCCTTTAGTGATTTCACCTCCAGCCCTTGCCTTTGGTGAAATGTTGTAGGGGAAAGAATGCGGTTTGTGTCCCAGCTTTTAGCAGTGCAGATCACCCCAGCCTCTCGGCCCCAGCCTCCTTGCTTGCCGGGGATTAGGGCTGGGATGGAGATTTAATCCCAAAGCTGTGGGTTTTCTGGGTCGGTGACATGGTTTCCTATGCGCTGATCAGGGCACTGGAGTGCAGCACAGATAACTGACACAGCTCATGCAAGGATGGGCTGTGAGAGCAAAATCAGCACGTGTGATAGGGTGGAGGGCTCCTCCAGCCCCATGGGTGTACTAGGCTGAACTGGGAGTGCCATGCATACTGGTAAGGGGCAGAAGGGAGGTGACATCCATGCTTCTGCTGTGTCTGCAGCGAGTTTAGGAGACTCCTGTCAGCTTTAAGCAGTCCTGCAATCCAACATAGACACAGGCAAGGGTTAAGCTGTCCCTGCAGCCATTCACAACAGTGAGTGTGGTGCCACTGGGAGCACGTGCTGCACATCAGTCTGCTTTAACAGCGAGGCCATTTTAGGAGCACAGATTAATCACAGCACCGTCCCGCAGGGACAGAGGATGCTCAGCACTGCATTAATACACAGCAAATTTGGGCAGGACTGGAGGAGCCCATTCCCAGCCCTAGAGAACCACATCCTTCAGCAAGTCACAGAGATACCAAGGCTGTGCCCACCATCCTCCCAGCGGGCTGTGGGGTGCACTCAAAGTCTCCAAGCTCCAGGAGGGCTGACAATGCTCAAGGTAACTACTGCTGTGATTAAGAGAAATCCCCCTGGGGAAAGCAGTCTGGCCTCTTGTAGAGACAGTCCTTTGGGTCCCGGTGACCATACAGACCTCGTCCCCAAATACAACTCCACGAAATCTCAGCATCTCCAGCCCCACAGCATACCCTCACTCTTCTCTGCCTTCTCTCCTCCTGAGGCCGAGCTGCTCCAGGAGCTCAGAACTCACCCAGCAGTCACATGCAGACGACCCTGCTGCTCCCTACGCTCACACCACAATCAAATCCAGAAACTACAAAAAAAAAAAAAGAAAAAAGAGGAAAAATGAAGACAGCGACAGTTACACTCAGCACATGGCTCAGCCGCCTCTGCCTTGTTGTAGCAAAATCCATTCCCATTAAAACCCTGTTTCCAGCAACACCCACAGCACACCGAGCTCTTCCTGCCGCCCCAGCTAGTTCCCTTGCCACGTCCATGGGGCTGCTGCCTGCTGCCCAGCTCCAAGACGGAGCTTTTCGCACTCAGCCCACGCCGCTCTTCGTCTCCGCTCCTCTTATTAAGAGGATAATAATCCCCTTAATTAGTTTCTCCTTATTTTTACGCACCTCCCACTCCTCCCCCGTGGCAGATCGCTTGGCTGCGTCTCCTCTCGGATGCTCCTCAAAGTCCCGGCGCCGTCGGGCTCGGCTCTGCCACGTGGCTCTGCCGGTGCGTTATTACGCAAGGTTGCAAAATCAGGACAGGAGCAGAGCAAAAGGGTGGCTGGCAGAGGGCTGGGAGCACATTCTGGGGGCTGCCCTGCTGTGTATCCAATCCTTTTGTGTCTGTACTTCTCCCCTCGTGCGGGGACAGCAGAGCGAGGAAGGAGAGGACGAAGATCCCCCCAGCAGAAGGGGGGCTGCAGGGAGCCCCCAGTGGCACGCACAGCACGTTTGCAGCACAGAGGTCACCTTAACAGGCGGCTGCTGGATTTCCATATGCATTTCCTTATTGCCTCCTGCTGCTCCCGAAGCACGGGGACATTTACATAACCCCACTGGATGGAAACAGGATGGGGATGCAGCACCACTTGTCACATGGGTCCCAAACTGGGAAGGGACCCCATAGAGCTCTGGCCCTTCTGAGGCATACTGAGCGATGGCAGGATATCCGTGAGACAGAGTGCTCCCCTCTGCTGCCAGGAGATGGCTGGGTGCCATGGACTTGTCTGCAGGGACATCCAACATTTCCTTACAGATTTGCAGGCAGCTCTGCACTCATGCAGCCACCCTAAGAGAGGCTGCCAGCGGGGCTTCAGCAGGTCACAGAGGGCATCACCCTGTGCTAACATGGCAAATCCAGTGCAGAAATGCTCCTGGGGCTGTTACAAGACTCTCTAAACCCTCCATGGGGAGCCCCAGAGCTCCCCCAGACAGCTCAGCCACAAGCTGATGTACACTGCTCAAAAACCTCCGGTATCCATAGCCTCTCATAGTCTGCTGTGGGCTCACCACGCTGAGTTCCTCCCATCTTTTCCTCCCTGTTTCAGTGCTGTTTCACACTGTCCAGATTGCCAAGCCCTCACTCAAGCCTTTATCGTGCCACAACCACCACCACCTCCTCCTCCTCCTCAGTACAGACACAGCAGGTATTGCCCTGCTCACCCTTCCCAGAACTCCTCTCCTGGCTGCTGCTGACACATCCCAATGGCAAACCCAGGCACACTGTGCCAACCCTGCTGCCAAAACTTTACCCAACTCCATACAGGTGCACAGGCACCCCCAAACACAGAGCACTGTCACAGGAAAACCTCTCCCCAGCAAACACCCTCCAGCACCAGCACACAGCTGTTTGGAGGGGCATTCCTCCATGTACACCTAAGGTGGCACATGAACCTCTGTTTTGCTCAGGGCTGAGAGAGCTAACCTCCCTTTACAATTCCTTGAGCTTTACCTTCATGCATTATTCCACGACTGTCAGGCTTCAATTAATTTTATTTTTTTCCCCCTTTAAATATTTTATCTCATTTTGTTTCTCCCCTTTCCAGGAAGAGCTGTTTCACTGGGAAAGGCAGCTCCACACCCCAGAAGGAGCTGTACAAAAGCCCATTGTGAAGCACAGGGCAGGGAGCAAAGAGGGGCTCCAGCAAAGCAGGGTTAAACACCCGTGGGGCAAAATGAGGGTGGCTTCACCAACATCAGCAAAGGTGCAAGCAACAAGGGGATGGGGGTCTGAACCCACAGCAGGCTCTGAATTGCTGAGTTGGCCTGAAAGCCACCCCCAGGAGGTCCAGAAAGCCCTCTGCGCCCCAACCTCTGGATGTACCATGCTTCACAACCAGATTTGGGGCAGCTCGCCCAGCAAGCATGCTGTAAGGACTCAGCAGAGCTCCGTCCCAGCACCCTGAGGGTTGTGACCATGCTCACCACAACCCTGAGCTGGGGCACGGGGAGGAGATGGGGCTGTGAGAGAGGGAAGGGCAATAGAAGAAAAGGAGGAGGAGATGCATCTCCCTCTGCCTCCGTGCAAACGCGGCGACACTTACGTTGATCATAGCATTGGAGGTGATGCGGAAGAGCGTGGCTCGCTCATTCACAGCCTTGATCTTCTCACCACTTTCAGCTGGCAGTTTCAGGTTCTCCAGCTCGCTCAGCGAGCGCTGCAGGGCGGCCCCGTGCTTGGCAATCAGGTCATTGCAAGTGCTCAGGTCCTCCAGCTTACTCGAGAGGGTTTTCAGCGTGCTGTGCAGCTCACTCTTGTCTGACTGTGAGGCGGGCTCCTCATCACCCGAGTCATCTGCAAAGGGAGGGATGGAGAAAAAAAAAAAAACAGTTTCCATGGTTACCCCTGGACTGTACCAGCGGGCAGGGGGACCTTCTGCCTCCTCCAGCACAGGCTACAGGCTGGGATGTGCCAGGACAGAGGGAAGGGGCACCGAGCCCAGCCCTGACTCCCCGTTCACCCATCTCACTGGCACCCCCTCTGCATGAGGATGCAGAGTATGGCATAAGGAACAATTTGGGATGGCATCCAGGGGTGTCCAGAGGGCTCCTTCCGCTGCCACTGGGATGCAGCACAGGGCTGCTCTGCCTGAGCAACGGGGTGACGCAGGGTGAGCATTAGGGAAAGGTCCTGCATCAGAAGGCAGCGGATATGGAACAGGCTCCCCAGGCAGTGGGCACAGCCCTGAGCTCCAGAGCTCAGGGAGCACTGGGATACCATTCCCAGCCATAGGGGTTGGGTTTTGGGCACCCTGCCCCACAACTGAGCCTTGCTCTGCCAGGTCCACTCTGTGCCAAGGAACGGACAGTCTAAGAAACAGCATCTACCCCCAACCTTCCCCCTGCTTGAGAGGGCAAAAAACCAAAGTCAGAATCTCAGACACAACAGGAATGGTTACAGCTGCAACTCCAGAACATTTGAGTGATGAAAAAGAGAAATCCAACCCAAAACAGAGCTGTGCATTCCTACACACCACCTGGGCAGGGGAAGGTGAGGTTCCCAGGCTCACATAGCAGGGCCAGCACAGGGAGTGCCCATCTTCTATGCACCCAGGCACTGCTGGGCATTCCTCCAAAGCCATTCAAGAAGAATGAATTGGGACAAGGACGCAGAGCCCAGAGAAGGGTTTGTCCTACACAGCTCAAGGAGAAAGCAGAACAAAACTCTGGCAGAAGCCAGCAGCAATGAACCACAGAACCCTTGGATGGCTTGGATCAGAAGAAACCTTACTGACCATCTGGTTCCAACCCCTGCCATGAGCAACAACAGTCCTGCTGCTCCAAGCACACAGGGATGGGGTCAGGGTAGGATGGACGTGATGGGCAGGGGGAGAAAAGAGAGAAGATGAGGCTTGCAAGATGCATCCCAGAGGGTGCACCAGGCTTCTGCTGCTGGTGACTTGAACATGCCAACTTCAACAGATCTAGAGGGAAAACTTCAGCAATCAGTAAGGAAAACTAACCAGAACCTCCCGAAGGTCAGCATTCTGTTTCAGCACTTCTGCAGTACCTGTCACCCTGGAGCACACAAGGCACCCTGGTAACCTCTCTCTCCCCATTTGGTGACTGAAGGTGATTGCAGCCACCCTTCAGAAGCCAAACAATGCCCTATACACACCACAAGCACAATCCACTTTGGTTTCCATCACAGCCACTGTGCAGGCAGCTACCACCATGACGCCAAAGCCACCATTCCCTCTGTGTGACTGCAGGGGAAGAATCAAATTTGGCATTTTTCTGTGTGTAGACATGAGTGATGTTTCTCAAAGACAATCTTCCCTTATTTGCAGCTGCAAAAAAAATAGTGCTTTAGGAGCAGCAAGCAGCAGGAAGGATATCTGCCTGCTCCAGGCAGTGTTTAACCCCAGATCTCCCTCTCCCATCTCATGCTGCCATGCAGAATTATATAAACACCCAGAAGGTGTTTCGCTTTACTCGCAGAACAGCAAAAATTGGCTGTAATGAACTGAAATCAAAGCACAGAAGGAAGGAAACCCAAAGCTGTGGTTACAATCAAATCAGAGCGAGTTGAAGGAGAAACATTTGCGCAAAGCACCCGAAGCAGCTCCCACCCCTCCCAACACCCACAGCTCCCAGGATGGGCTCCCAGCCCTCCACCACAACCACAGGGACATCCCCATGTTACAGAGGGCAAAAAGGAATTGATGGAGCACCCAGGATCTCCTCAACCATCACTGCTCTCCCTACTGATGGCAAGGGAAACTATCTGTGCCTCCCTAGCTCTGCGTAGCTTTAAGGACATGAAACCATCAGAAGGTGTCCAAAGGAAGGCTGTGGGATGGAGAGGGGTCCAGAGCACAAGGTGTGTGAGGAGAGGCTGAGGGCCCTCAGTTTGTTCAGCCCAGAGTCTTTCATTCTCTGTTTCCCACTGTGTTTTGACTTGCAAACAAACTTAAAGGAAATCTGTTTTGATTTTTATTTGTAGGGCACTGGTATGAACCAGTTGCTATAGGAACAGTGGGCCTCGCCGCAAGCCTGGAGGATTATTTTTGGAGCTGTGATGCTATTTAATCTATGTAAAATGGATCAGCAGCCAGTGGCCATAAGCCTCCTCGGGCTGCTTCCCAAACCCACAGCACACACCAGCCTTCAGAGCCCAGGGCAGCAGCTCACGAGGAGCTCAGCAAGGCAGATGCTCCCATCACAGCCTTATTTTCTGCCTCTTGAACTTCCCTCAGCTAAACCCTGCTTGCAGCTTTTTCCCCCATGCTGGTGGAGAGCTGTGGGCTGGAGGAGGTGGCACTTCCCTGCACACAGCCCACAAGGACACCGGTGACACCAGAGGTGGCAGGTGAGCAGCTGGGAGCTGTGCCACTACAGCAACCCCACGCGCTGCTGCTCAGGTGCATTTTGATGCTTCTGCGGATGCATGGAGCTGGCAGAGCTGTTTAAGATGGTCTAGAAGAAAAGGCCATGGGGTTGATGAGCTTTTATCCTGAAATTCCCAAAATGCATTCTGAACCCAGCAGTGATGTCCCTAACACAAAGGCACAAAGTTAATGCCCTGGGCCACCTCCTACCTTCCTCTTGGGGTCCATCACAAAGGCTCTGCTCCAACTCCCTGACCCTCCTTTGCCTCACAAGCAGAAACCATTCCCATCCCTGCATCCTCGCTTCCAGAAATACCCTTCCTTCCTACACCCCCTCTAACTTCTCTCCTTCTCACATCACCTTGAACTTCACTCCATCCTGCATCCCCTCTAACTTGCCACCCAGACACTCCTGCAGCTCTGAACTGCTTGCCTCTCAAGGTTCCATTCAACAAATTCAATCTGGCTTCCTGCTCCAAGGCAGGGACACAGACACGGGGCTGAGCAAGAGAAGTTCCTGAGACAAGCAGCCTGCACTGATCCCAGAAAGACACTGTTAAAGCACAACAAAAGCTGCCACACGCAGACAGGCATCGCCCAGAGCATCACCAGGACTGGAAGCTCTGTGCCACAACTGCTTCCCTGTGGGAAGTCTGTTCCTCAGACTGAGCTTGCTCGTCTCTCTCCATAGCTGGGAAGCTCCCAGATCCCTGAAGTGCACCTGGAAAACTCCCTGCTCCACAGTCAGAGGGTTGCAGAAGCAGCCAACTCACAGATTCCACCCTTGCTTTCTTTATGAGCTGCATCCAACCAACCCGTGCTTGATGCTCCCAGGACCCCATCATCATCACGGATAATAAGGCTGCCTATAGAGAAAGCAGAGCTTCACCTCAGTGGGCCTGGATCTAACAAATGTCAGTGTATGCCTCTCCACATACCTGCCCTAGGGGCTTCGTATGGAAATGCAAGAAAAACCCCACACTGATTTGGTCTGGAGCCTCTTCCAGGCAACACAGCGAAGGCCTATGGGACAAATGAGCACCAAACCCAACCTCTGCCAGGGACTCCATGGGCAAAACCTATAGAAATACCAACAGCACTTGCAGCAAACACCCACTGGTCCCTCTGGTGTTCTGCAGCCGCCACCACAGACCTGGTTTGGGAACAAGAGCCTTTCCTCCCAGGACCAGCAGCAGCACATGGACACTGATCACCAACCATTCCTCAACCAAAGCAATTTCCACAATGGCTCCAAAAACTTTCATCCGCTCGCGTTGCTTTTAATAGCTATGAATATTAAATGGCAATGGGTGTCTATATTTAATAGCTTCACCCAGTTGCCAAGAGAGGGATGAATTCCTACAGCATCTGCACAAGCAGGCCCAGGCGGAACTTTTTGGTTGTAAAGAATTACGCTGGCACTTAATCATCAAAATAACAGAGCAAATGGTCATAAATCGTTCCAAATTTGGGTGATCGCTTTGCAATTATCACCAACCTGGCAGGGATATTTCTTCTACTGCTAATGCAAATGGAAAGCTGTTCAGGCCTAAAAACAGCAGTTATTCACCAGCTGTGATGAGCTGCGACACCTCTATCTCATTCAATGGGGATGACCCAAGGACGCAGCCTTGGAGCAGGACCAGCACTCAGCTTGAGGCAGCACAGAAAGGACCCAGAGCTCCCAGTCTGTGCCAGCAGATCTGCCTGAAATCCATTGGGATCACAGTGTGAAGCCAAATGCTCAGGTTATGCAGAAATTCAAACCTAAGGATTTCACAGATGTGACCTAACCTTGCCCAGGGTCGGAGCAGAGACCTCCAACTTAGCCAGTATTGCACCCTTACACCTCACCACACTGAAATAAAGCAGGACAGCATATTCTTTGCCTCTGACTCCATCTCTTGGTTTCTGTAATTGTGGTTTCATTATAGCTCCACTGCAACTGGCTGGAGCCAAACCCAAGTGAAGTGAGACTGTGACACGTTATACTGCTTGCTTGGTTTTTCAGGTCAGCGAGCATCACAGGGACACAACTGAAAAATCTAAGAACAAGAAACTGAAGGGCTACAGAGCAGTTAAGTTGATGGCTTCACCTCTTACTCAGGACAAATTCCAGCTCATGAGGCAAATGCACCCTGGTACAGGAATCTGGGGGAGCTGCAAAGCCATAATGAAGGCAGCAGGGTTGATCCCACCAGGACAGTTCTTTGGAAGGAAGGATGCTGCAGTGGCCATTTCTTGCAAGCCATCAGAAGGTGATGCAATCAAGAAGGCCAACAGTCTGCAAATGAGGTTTGCTGTAGTGCCAGCAGAACTATTTACACAACACAGAACCAAATTTCCAATAACCCGAAACAGATTTCATTTTTGGACTTCAATCTCCTTACTGCACAAGGCCACAGAGGTTCTGGCAGTGGACATGCAAAGAACTGTAATCCATTTATTGTTATCTGCATTCTTT